ATAGTTATATAAATTTATATAAAGACTTAAAGGAAATGCTGTTAATTTGATTTTTACTTTCTTTAAACTATTAACTGTAAAATAAAGTTGACAGGGTAACAAGAATGCACTAGGAAACGTCTCCTTCCCATTTATAGCAGTATAACAAAGTTTTGATTGATAGCAAAACTTTATCAATATTGAGCTACTTAAACAAATGCATATTTAAAAAAAAAGATGTCTGTGCTATCCTTGCAAAATACCTCCAAAGCTATAATTCCTAGGAGCCCTTTACTGCCAGGGAAGCTGTACTGCAGATAATTTACCACTGAGCTGACTCAGTGCTCACAAATGAAACAGCACCATTTTAAGTACAATTCATCTGTGCAAAGGCAGGCATATGTATAAATACATTTTTTAAGAAACAGAGCTCACCTTCTGCTTGCCATCTTGCTACTATCTTGCATTTTCCCGCTCATTATCGGTTATCAAAACTAAGGTAATTTGTAAATCTATATCCTTGACACCTGACTGATGCCTTGAGGAGCTACACTTTCTAGAGGATGAGATAGAAGCCCTTGGAGTCAAGGGCTTCTGACAAAAAAAAAAAAGAGAGAGAAAAATCCTGCTATCTATAAAGAATTAAAATCTCTAAATGTGAAACAAATGATTAAAAATTTATGAGGTGGCCACACAACAAAATAAACCAAATAACCTCTATTTGATACCACAGTAAACTTGTGATGCTCAGCTAGTTAAGAAAAAACAAAATATCATTAAGATGCTTTTCTAAAAAATAACAAATAGGACTATCAATATCCAACCATTCAGTCAGACTCAGAAAAAATAAATCTTATCTTTTTACCTGCAAACATGCAATTCATTCAGTACTAGTCATTTCAAGGCAGAAGAAAAAGACAGAATATTTTGAAGGTTCTAGTGTATTTTCCAAGCCTACAATTACTTCAAACTAAGTAGACAACCTTGAGTACAGGTAGGTTACCCATAATCAGGTATGAGTACTTGACTATCATTTCTAGGATTTACTGGCATAATCAGCTTTCTGCATGGGCTGATCATCCCACTTGGGATAAACATTAAGTATGTGTTGAAGTAACTAACCATACAGCAAAGAAATTTTTTACAATATGGACTCATCGACAAAATCACTATTTCACACCAAATTGTTAGCATTTAAAAAGAATAAAAATGAAATTTCTTATAAAACAAAAATTTTTTATGTTCCCATTTAGAAATGAAAACTGAAACAAGAACACATTAATAATAAAATTAGGGATCTTTTACCATCACAGTTTAAGGGCATTATGAGCCCTTAAGTAATACATGGCTGATTACATCACCCTTGGTCAATTTCTTGATTCTATCGATGAGAAGTCCTGGACTAAGTTAAATGACCTAAAAGGTCTCTTCTCTCTGGGACTACTCAATTCCACTTAGTTATATAAATTTGAATAATTTGTAATTTACTTCTGGGAATGTGTAAAACTCAGGTAATTAGGGCATCATTTTGCATTCCAATGATGTCATAAAGTTTCTAATTAGTACTCAAGCAGTCTGAGAGAGTTAATGTAATTTAACAGGCTCCTCGTATGCTTGCTACCCGCCCAACACTGTTCTAAGTGCTTTATAAATATTAACTCATAAGCAGCATTTTCAGTGTATTTAGGAACTAAGTTCTTATAAAGTGCAATCATGAACAACCACATTTGCTCATTTTTTTTTGACAATACTGGAATTTGAACTCAGGGCCTTGAGGTTGCTAGGCAGATGTTCTATCACTTGAGCCACACCCACAGCCCATTTCTCACTCTTTCAAATTAAAAGTATTCATTTCTAACAATTAGTATCTCCCCATAGAGCTTGGATCTAGTCAGCTAATTCTCTTTACTGAAATCCTTGGATAACCTTTAGGACAAAGTCCAAACTCCTCATTTTGGAAACTGCTGCTCCAGCTATTCCCTGCTTTCCTCTTTTGTCTCACTGGTCACTTAAATCTTTTTTTTTTTTTTTTTTGGGTGGTACTGGGATTTGAACTCAGGGTCTCATGCTTGCCAGGCAGGCAACCTACCATTTGAGCCACTCCATCAGCCCAGTTACTTAAACCTTAACTATTTGCAGTAAATATATGTCCTGACTTCCACATGCTTATGTACTTGCTGTCCTTTGGTCCCTTTAAGGAGGCCAATTCATAACTCACACACCAAACAGCCCATCCTGCTCATCTTCAGTAAGTGCTGGCCCTTCTCTGCTTTTGCAGCTGTCTGTGATCACCTCCAGAAAATCATTGCTTATTCACTCATTCTTCCCACTTCCCACTTGCCTTTGAACTGCTTAAAGGATAAAAACTGTCTTTCATCTGTAAATCCCTATGGACTTGCATAAAAATTGCTACATAACAGGAGCTCAAGTAAATAAATGCCTTTAAATAAATGAGTATATTATAAGCTTTGTGAGTTCACAGAAAAAGCCATCCTGATTTTATTTCTGAAATACAAGGGGAATTGCTAAAGTATCTATGGGTAACTAAAATCCTGTGTAAGTTTCTATCTATTTAATTACCAAAGAAATAACAAGGGACATATAAAATCAACTGTTTTCTAATCCAATGACAGCTCTCAGGAAACCAGAAATGCCAGATGGGTAAGAAAATTCCTTAGTTTCCTAACTGTTGGCCTCTGGCAACTAGGTCTTTGCAATTCTAATTTCCAGCAGCAGTTTAAGGAGGGTTGTAAACTACAAAGGCGATACACACATGAGGATATAGTGTGTGTAACTTACTATGTGACAGACACTGGGATAATGTCTTGTAATAATTACTTTAATGACAACATAGTAGCACTACTTCCACTTCTGACTTGAATTAATAATCTACTAATATTATGTAGCCTAAATTCTACCAATTCATTCACACCTCACCAAAAGCTGGAGTTATTCTTGGCAATTGTGAAGTTTATTGCTATAGGAAGTAGAAGCTGCATGGCCCCAAGACATCTTCTTCCCCAAGAGGAAAGGCCTATGAATCAAAAAACTGCAGAACAGTGAGAAAAGAAGAACTGGCCTGTTTTTCAAAAGTGGGTCTTTCACCAGCACAGACAAGGTACTGGGGACAACAATGTCAGCATGAGGCAGAGACTCCAACAGTTCCTAGGCTCAATCCTGTGGTTTTCTTTTTCTGCATCTCTACTTCCTTCTGTCCTTTTCTCTCTCAGAAAGTCTCTGTGATTTTGCTGGCTATATCAGCAAAAACCAGACTATGGAAACTCTATAGGATGGACCTCATGTCCTCAATGAATAAACTGCAAGGAAAAAAAAATGAAAACAAAGAAGTGGTGGGAGGAAACCATACATTAGAGAGACTTAAACAAATAAACTATTTGCAGTTTATAGGCATTATTTGAGTCCTGGCTCAAATAAACTTAAATATATATATATATATTCACATATAAGATATTTATGAGACAACTGGAGTTTTTCTGAAAAGGCTGATTAGTTGATAGTATTAAAGAGTTATTCTTATTTTTTAAATATGATAATATCAGGGTTACATTTTTTAAAGAATCCTTACTTTTCAGAAGTATATTAATGAAATTTGTTATGAGTGAAATTATATGATTCACTTCAAAACAGTACAGGAAGGGGAAGAAAGTAGGAAGGTTGTAGACAAACAAAATTGGCCATGACTTGCTAATTACTGAAGCTGGGGGTTCACTATATCATTTTGTCTACTTTTGTGTGTGTTTGAATTTTTTAAAAGGTTGAATGGGCCTGAGAATATTCCTCCACAGAAATAATCCTAATTAATTGAAAAATAAGACAAGGAAACTGTGTTCCCTACTTCTTCAGTTTTTCAATGGAGATAAGTCAAAATGGAAAAGGAAAATAGGCAGTTACCAAACATTAATTCAAATAATAGAATCCTTCATTAAAAGCTTGGCATATTAGGTGTTCTACAATAATCTAACTTTGATTATTACAAAATTAAGCCCTTAATTTCCTTCCTTATGTCAACAAAATTTTAACAGAACCAAATATTTGGATAATAATATAGATTTAAATATTTTTCTATTTTTACATATTTTACACATGTGGATAAGCTGGTATAACATCACCCAGATATATTTTAAAATATTGGTGATATGTTTGAGCATGTGAAAATGTTCAGTTTGTCTTTGCTTCAGTAAAGTTTACAAAAATTTTCAACTACATGAACTTAATGTGTACTTACAAGTGGATGAACTGCTTGACAGGTTTTACCAAAAATATTTGCTAAAACTATCCAGCAAGTTCAAAATAATTTTCAAACATATCTGTGGATGTGTTACTGATCTAAATACAGGTACAATAAGCCAGTTTTTTAAAACATGTTTTATAAGCGGTCAGTAAACAATATAGCCCTAACTACATCGAGAAGCCTGCTACCCAGAGAAGAAAGCGGAAGGGATTTCTTCCTCTTTTGTGGAAGGTAGAGGTGAATAGGAAGACTCATTACTAGTGTCCACAAATCTGAGTAAGCAGAAAATTGTTAAGTTTTTATTTTTACAGTTTAGGTGTCTTAGGAATGTCTAGCCACTTTCCCCTCCTTTTTTCCTACAGTACCAATCGTGAGTTGTAAAGTCCTCTCTTTCAAGATTAAAACAACAGTGATGATGCAAACCCTGCTCAAATAGAATCTCCTTCCCTAGTGTGGTTTTGCCTTGGCTAAGGTGAGAGGGTCGGCCCCTTCGCCCTTTGGCTCAGGTTACCTCCGCGAGAGCCTGCCCGCACAAACTCCCCTGGAGCAAAGCCCTAGGTCTGTGTTTCTCTTGCTTCTTTTTGCACAGGGAGCACCATGCATGATTCGCATTAGGGCTGCGCTCATTTCACCCAAGACATCGCGTCTCCAGGGCAACCAGAGCAAATGTGAGGTCGCGGTGGGGGGCTGGGGGCTGGGGGCTGGGGAAGGCGGGCCGCTCCGCGGACCCCTCCCACCCGGCGGACGCTGCCCATCGCGCGCCTCTCACCTGCCTGCTGCCGGGGTCGCCCCGCACCCGCGTGTTGAGCTCGTCGTGGCCAGTTTCGTCCTCGCCGCCAGAGCGGTAAATGAGGCGCAGTGGCACGGTGCTCTGGCGCTCCAGGAAGCGGTTTTCGTGCCCCCTCTCCAGCTCGGCCAGTGAAGCGTCTCCTTCCAGGCGAGGGGGGGGTGGGGGGGTAGGAGGGAGTGGAGAGAAAAGGCAAAAATAATGACCGTGAGCCACACTCCTCCATCCTGCGGTGCTACCTCTCCCCCTCAGAAATTCCACCGCCTCCTCCCTCCCGGACCCCATCTGGGAAGGACGTAGAAACACCAGCTGGAAACCTTGCACCAGCTCATCTGAGAGCATCCAGCATCGGGGCCCAGAAACAAGCACCCCTTTCCCATTCTCCCCATTCTCGTTCTTCAGAAGAAAAACAGGCATTGACCCAAGCCTCTGGTGCATCAGCGAGCCTCCACACGAGTGGGGCTCCTCTTTTCATCATCCTTCCAAATTGAAAAAAAAAAAAAATCTCCCCGCGCACTTGGAAAATGGGGCTGCTCCTCTCCGATGCTCCCCGGGATCTCCAAATATTCCCGGGAAATGGTATGTCCCGAAGCCTCAGAGGGTGGCGAACTTACCTGTCCGTTCGCAGCGCGCCAGGGGGCAGGTCCCCAGGACGCAGAGCAGTAAGAAGGGCACGGACGCAGCCGCCGCCGCCTGCATGGTGCTGCTGTCAGCCCGCCGCACCCGCCCGCCCGCCCGAGGCGCTCAGCTGCTCATGCCGGGGCAGCGGGGTCCGGCTCCCGCGCTCCGAGCCCCCTCGGCTGCCTTTCGCCACCCCCTCTCAGCCCGGGCCGATGCTGCAGCGGCCTCGGAGCTGCAGCCTCCACCGCGGCACTGCCTCAGTGCTGCATTGTGCTCCGCGGGCGCTGGTGCTGGCGGGGGCCGTGAGCGAGTGCTGCATTGGGCGGTTGGCTGTAGCTAAGTGGTTTCTAGCGCCTCCCACCTCATCCTCCCGCAAAGGCTCGGGCGGGCGACGAGCGCTAGGCAGGGAACGAGCGTTCGGTGCACTCGCCCCCCGCGCACCCGCGCGCGCAGGAGAGTCAGCTGGGAAATGTAGTTCTCTCTCTCCGCCTCCTGCGCGTAGCCACCACCGCGCGGTCCTCTACACCTCGTAGACAAGAGGGAGGAAAAGTGTGCAGGAGGAAGCCTGGCAGGCTGTCTGGCAGCAGAGATAACTCACTGCGCGGTTGCAGCCGCAGGTAGTCAGTCGTCCACGTCGTCCGCCAAGAACTGTCATGTTTCCCCCCAGTTAGTAGTTGCTTAAGTTATTATCAGGGAACGATTTTCTGACTACCCTAAGTCAATCGTTCAACAAATGGGGATTGGGGACCTTCTATGTGCGCTCAGAGTTGAGTAAGAAGTCTGACTTTTTGCTTATTGGACTGTTTCTTTAGGGAGAAAAAAAAATACAGTGTGGAAAATGTCCTGATAATACCTGAAGGAAGGGCCTTAACTCAGCCCAGGCGAGTCAGGGAAAATCTCCTGGACAAGGTCTAGGCAGGCCCTTGAAGTATATGATTTAGCCCAACTCTCCAGAACGTGTTTGTTCTTTCTATAATATCCGCTTGCTGCAAGGCTGTATTTGAAAACCAGACCTAAGGAACTGAGTATTTCTCAGGCTACTTATTCTGTTTTCCCCTAATTCAAAATGTTAGAAATCCACGAGGATAAAATAGTAATACAACAATTATTATCTTAATTAACTTTACTGTTTTTCGAAGTTCACATATACTGGCATTTTATCCTTAGGTCAACAATTTGATGAGAAAAGTAAATTCAGGATTAGAGCTGCACCTTCCAAATACTGAAGCCACTAGCCATATGGGGGCTACTTAAATTTTAATAAAATTAAAAATTCAGTTTCTTAGTCACACTGACCACATTTCAGGTGGTGAACAACCTGTAGCTCGTGGCTACTGTATGGGACAGCAAAAATATAAAGCAGTCCCACCTTTGCAGAAAGTTTTACTAGACAGTTGGATTCCAGAATTTAAACAACTTGTACTGAAGTCCAATGCCATGGCTAGTCATAAAGTAAACCCAGACCTGGATCTCCTGCTTGCGGATCTGAGCCTTTTCCCATAACATCTCCTTGGTGAAACATCTGTCTGTGTAACCTTCACCTTGATCCTGGTTCTGGTCCTGTAGAGCAAACAAAAGAATCTTTCACATGATGGTCTTTGGCGATGCTTTCCCACTTCCATGAAGAGAGTGGGGCTTTTTGGTTTGGTTTGGTTTGGTTTGGTTTTAATCACTGCCTCCTAGCACATGGTTGGGTTCCTTAACCATCCTGAAAAGTATACTGCAGTATCAATGTGTCAACTTAGACATGATTTCACAAGTAATTAAGACAGAAGTAGCCATTTTCCTTGTCCTAAATTCTTGGCAAAAAGGATAGTCTATCATATTTTGGAAAGTACATTCCTGAAGTCCCCAAACTAGTGAGATATTTAAGAATCCTATATGACATGCAGTTGTAACTTGAACAAGATTCAGTGGTACAAATTAGACCTCAATGAAGGATATTTCTTTTTTGGGGGGTGGGGGGTACTGGGGTTTGAACTAAAGGCTTCTCAATGAAGGATATTCCATAACATTTATAATAAAGGAGAATTAGAGCCCAAAAGCCTGGAAAAGTCCTTCACCTTTCTCCCCTGTACTATGGACCCAAATTCTTAACCCAGTTCTCATAGTTGCAAGAACAAGTTGTACAAAGTTTTATAATTATAACATTGTTCTAAGTATCATGCTTACTTTTATATTTTTAGGGAGTTAGAATTATTTTAAATAATTTCATAGGCTAAACAAATAAGCTTGATGTAATAAAAATTTAAATAGTTTTTGAAAAAGAGCTTATCTAGCTGGGGGCCAGTGGCTCACACCTGTAATCCTAGCTACTCAGGAGGCAGAGATCAGGGGGTTTGAAGTCAACTCTGGGCAAACAGTTTGTGAGACCCTATGTTGATAAAACCCTTCACAATAAAGGGCTGGTGGAATGGATTAAGATGTACGGCCTGAGTTCAAACCCTAGTACCACAAAAAAAGGAAAAAAGAAAATAGAAGAGCATATCTTAGCTTAGGTCACTACAACAAAAATCCCATAGACTAAGTTACTTAAATAATAAAACTTCAGGGGCTGGGGTAATAATTCAGTGGTAGAGAACCCTGGGCTCAACCCCCAGCACTACGAAACATTTAATTCTCACAGTACTAGAAGCTAGTTAAGTTCAAGATCAAGGCACTAGTAGATCTGGTAGCTAGTGAGGGCTTCTTCCTGGCCATTAGATAGCAGCCTCCACTCTGTATCCTCACATGGTCCAGAAAGATTTAGCTCTCTTCCTTTTCTTAGAAAGATACTAATCCCATCATGCATGACATAAATACCTCCTAAGGCCCATCTCCAAAAAACATCACATTAGAGCTTCAACATACAGATTTGGAGTAACACAAACAGTCTTCAGCAGAGATTAAGAAGATGCCACTTCTCAGATTTGTAAACTGAATTATTAGATGTTTGACATGTATGAGAAAACACTAATAAATTACAAATTATTTTATTAGTGATGTATATAATATTTAATGTTTGAGAATTTATTCTGCCAAATTTTTGAGTCAGTTGAATAGTAATCAAAAAACAAGTGAAAGTGACTAGTATTATTTCTCCAAAAAGTATTTTGCGAAAAATAAAATTTAGATTGAACCAGTAATCCTACACCTATAATCCTAACTACTCAGGAGGCAGAGATCAGGAGGATCACAGTTCCAAACCAGCCAGGGCAAGTAATTCAAGAGACCCTATCTCAATAAAAAGCATCGCAACAAAGGGCTAGTAGAATGGTTCAAGGTGTAGGACCTGAGTTCAAACCCCAGAACTGCAAAATAAATGAATAAATAAAATTTTACTCTGAGTCTAAAAGCTTAAGAAAGCTAGGTTTTAAATTTTATGTCATACCAAATTGAATACTGATGAAATGAAGTCATAGTAAGTGTTCCTTTTGTAGATTAATTCTCAGGCAGTAAAAGCTTAAAATTTCACGAAGAGAATGGTACATTCTATGTGCTTGTTTACATGGAACATACTGTTGATGCAGCCATCCCATTACAATCACCCTCAAAGAAAGAATAAAATAAGGATAGAAATCAAGCCCCCGTTCACTTCATTTCCTGCCCTATTACTGCATGAAAGCATTAAGAAGTCTTTCTAACATGGCTCCTACTGCAGTGTGAAGTGAGTAGCACATATTTGAAGACAACATAAATCTTCTTCTAAAGCTGGATTATAGTAATGGTTGCCCAACCCTGAGTTTTCTGAAAACAAACTGTATAATGACTTTAAAGAACTTCATGGAAAGTAAATTATACTTCAGTAAAGCTGTTAAAGAAAAAATGAAGGACTCTAAAAAAGAAGATTCCTAATTTTGCCTAAGGTTAAGGTTTCATGTGTGGATGGGGCAAGCTCACAACTAAGTTGTCCTCTGTGTTTTCACTACTCTAGAAAAGTGGTAGTAAACAAAGGATGGAATGCAAAACTGGAGACATGGACGCATGGAAAGCTCAGCCTGGGCTAGTCATGGATCAATTGTCATTGTCAACTGTGTATAATTGTATTTTCAAGGTGAGTTAATCTTTTTATTTTTTCAGGTAAGGATCATTCCTTCCAAAAAGATTGAGGTTCTGTAACTTGTGTGAATACATAGTAAACTAATTGAATTTTAAAATAATAATTTTATGGCAATTTTTGGTGATCAAAGGGTAAGTGAAGGGTACATGAAGATATTGAGGGTTCATTTCTATAAATCTTTGTGTGTGATAATTTTGAAAAGTTTTAAATGGCATTCGGAGGTCTAAGTACCTTACAAAGTTTAAATAGAAAAATCAATAAGAGAAAAAATGAAGTTTCTATTGTTAAGAGTGTTTTTAAACTTAAAATCCAATTTGAAATATGAATAAATATTCTCACCAGAAAGAATTAATAAATATACCTAGGTTTGTATGAAAAGCTAAAACATATGGGCACAATGTCTCACACCTTTAATCCCAGATACTCAGGAGGCAGAGATCAGGAGGATCAAGTTTCAAGACCACTTGTGGCAAAAAGTTAATACCCCATTTCAAGCAGTAAGATGGGCATGGTGATGCACACCTGTCATCCCAGCTGTGGGAGGCATAAACAGGAAAATCATGGTCCAGGTCTTCTCTGGGGAAGACCTATCTGAAAAATAACTAAGGCAAAAATGGCTGGGGACTTGACTTAATGATAGAGTGCCTACCTAGCAAGTATAAGGCCCTGAGTTCAAACCTCAATACTACCACCAAAAAAAACAAAATAGTGTTGTAGCTTTATGATTTCTAAGCCAGAAAAACAAATTAAACTGTGTTCTTATCTGACAATTTTCAGGCATAATTTCACAGATAAGATTAGAGAAGTTTTATGTTCTGTGTTGTTAAGAATCAGCAACAACTCTTGAGCATACTATAATAGGATGCTAAGATACTGAAACAATAATATATTTAATTAAAATATGTACAGTTCCTCCACGATTTTTTGGGGAGAGGCCAAGAAATAGTCTCCAAATCTGTTTGAAGTAGGGTACTTCTGGCTACATTTTGTGTACTTCATGTATATGTATTCTGTATTTATTTCTATACATTTGCATTAAACTAGAAAT